TGTGAATAGGGAGCAGTTCTCATCTGATTCCCTGAGACAGGTGTCCCCTCCAGCAGGTGACCACCCCACCCTGCCAGCAATCACACCCCCCTCCAGCAGACACATAACCCCCACCAGAAAATCCATTACCTTAACAGCTGCCCCCTCCCCACAAAAGAGGAAATCCCTCCTGCAGGGTCTAACCCCCACCCCACACACACCCTAACAGCCCCGTCGCCTGTGAGACTAGGGATCTTGCCCAGCCCTACCTAACAGTCACCCATCCGTTCACCCAGGCGCCTGGCAATCCCTCCAGCACGCAGCATTCCCCTTCGGTGCCTGGGTGTGGTGAGCCCACCAATGGCCCAGTGCCATCTTCCAGCCCCAGCCCATCCTCATGGGGGGCTCACGTCCAGCTGGGAATTGAAGGAAACAGTTCCCAAGCCCAGCAAGCTTGCAGTGCCTTTTTGGGGCTGCCGCTGTGCTGTGGGGCCCACTGTAGGCCCTGTGTTCGGAGGATGACTCTCCAGACAGAATTGCCTACACACGCCCTCTCCAAACGGCACCATGCTAACCCCGGAGAAGCAGGCAGGCATCTTGCCAAGCGAGAGATGCCATCCGAAATGAGGAGCCCTCCCAGGAGCAGAGCACTTAACAGAAACAAGGCTCAAAGCAGCATCCTCTCCCCACTCTCTTTGCCTGTGATGCCCAGTCACGTTCAGGGACCAGCCACACCCCGGCCGTGGGAGGGAAAGTGAATTATTCTGGTGATACAGTAGCTCCAAGCTGGGAGAGGACCATGCTCAGAGAGAGACGATTTCCCATGCCGGACGCTGAACAGGTATTCTGGCCTGGGCATTAATCAGCCTCTATACTAAGTCCTGGCGACACAGCCTCCTCGCCTCTCTCCTTTGTTAAGGGTGATACCAAGGAGCTAGGGCATCCAAACGTTTTTTTTTTTTTTTTTTTTTTTAATTCTTACCGAGTTTGCACAAAGGAGAGTGGAATTGATCCCTGTAGCTGCCTCTAGAAACCTACAGCTCAGCCACAAGAAACAGGCAGCGGCGGCCGAAAGGCCAAATCTATTAGGGGAAAACCAGTAATTTAATTACTGGGGAGTTTAGAAGCCGACTGTGACAGCGGCTGGGCCACCGGGGATGGGAGATTACTAGAAACCAGGGCTTTTCAGGCTGCCAAGTCACCTGAGCCGAAGAAGCCATGAATATTGCAGCAAGGCCGGTCCAGAGAGCTGGGGAGAAAGCAGGGACCGAGGACGATGCTTCAAAGCAAGAGATGCAAATTCTAGGTCTCTCCTGAGCACAAGCTGAGGAGCCAGGGGGCTGGTGCTAGATTCCCCCCATGCCTTTCTGCATTCGTTGTCTACGTCCTTTACGTTAGCTGAAGGCAAATGCATTTTAAGTCGATTTAGTGCTGGCTTAACAGAGCTGGAGCATAAGGGGCTGACCCCAAGCCCGTTGTGATCAATGGAAAGACTCCTCTTGACTCTGGGGGTGGTTTTGGAGCAAGCCCTGAATGCGTCCACAGAAGGTCACTGCAGGTGCTCCTTGCCTCAGTTTCCCTTCACCTCCATTTTCTGCGATTCACAGGGCTCAGCCCTCCGCCCGGGTCACGCTCAGAGCTCCATCCCCTTCCAGGCTAACACCAGGGAGCTCTTCCTCCCTGCTTGGGCCCCTCTTCAGCCAGCCCTCCCCTCAGTTCCCAGCCCTTCCAGGATACCTTTAAGTTCGTCCGCTCTGCGTTGGAGCCCCAGCTCCCAGGCCGCTTCCCTGGAGTCCTTCCAGTCCCTCCTTGGGGGCCTTCCCCCGAGCCCAGCAGTTCCTCCTTCCAAGTGAGCTCTCTGCTTTGCTGAGGCTCAGGTGTTTATCAGGCTGTCACCTGACCCCAGTTAGTCCAGTCCCTCAGCTGGGGGGCAGCTAATCATGGCACAGCTGGGGCTGATTGAACAGGGCTGGCCCATAAACGGCAAACCACCCTGTTATAGGGAGCATCAGCTCGTTTCCCACAGGCCCCCACACAGCCACCAGATGATAACACGTCTTGGGCCCTACCAGTCTGAGCTGGCAACCTGGGGGAAGCTCTGCCTTCCCCTCCCAGGCTGCTGAGCGAGCTGGTCCCCTCAGGGTCTGCACACTGCAGGCGTTTCCTTTTCATTCACCTTTCCCCTGACCCTTGGTAGGGGCTGCAGTGGACAGCTGACTCCTGTCCAGTTTCTCAGCAGCTGCTTCCCTCTCTGGACCAGGTTCTGAGCGCTCTGCTAGCCCGAGCCCAGCAGTGCTTCGGAGGGAGAGAAAACAATCCCACCCTGTGCAGGACGACACCCTGGAGGGGGCCGTTGGCCTGGTCCCACAGTGATAAGCTGATGCACTGGAGCACGTGGGACTGCAGCATGTGCGTAGGGTTCCGCATAACCTGACTGCCACTCGCATCGGCTGCAACCCGGAGAGTAAAACGAACCGGTTAAGTCGTGGCTGGACGGAAAAGGCAGCTTAGAAAAATGCATCGCAGCCAAAGCAGCATTTGGGATAGGGCAGCGTTCCCTCCCTGCCCCAGCGAGGAAGGTGATGGATCCCGGAGCAGGAACGAGAAAGTGAGGTCTTCTCCCACCAAAGGATTCCGCGCAGGGAAGAGTGGGAGGAGAAGATTCTCTTCAAAGGGCATGGTTGCCATCTAGAGGGAAGTAGAGGGAAATGAGAGAAAAATCCAGCGAGGATGTGCCCTGTGCCAGGCAGCTACTGCAGTACCGCTCACGCACAGGGATGCCTGGGCACCCAGGAGAGACGGCCAGGATAGAAATCCCACCAAGGACAGAGACCTCACATGGATGAGAGTCAGTTTTGTAGCCAGCCCATCCACTTGGCCAATGCAACACCTTTCCCTAAGGTGTGTTTGCGAAGGCTCCAAGACAAGGTCATGCCGGTCCTTCGCTTTCCATGGCGGTCAAGTGCCAAGTTCAGTGAGGCTGTGAACGGCCCGACGGCTGGAATGGCAAAGCAGTGTAACTCGCGCCCACCTGGTGTTCCTCGGGGGTGACTCTCACAACGAAGGCCGGACTCGGATCGGTGTTACGATGAGCGCCAGGGCAGAATCCAGCCCCACGAGGAAGCGGATGCTGCAGCTAGGGAAGCAACATCTGGGCGTGTGGTAAATCAGCGCCCTGCTGACTGCACCAGAGTTCCCCAAAGGATGAAGGCGGCGAGACATTCTGCGTTAGGACCAGACTGTGCCTCTCTAGGGACGGGCCCCACCCTGTGTGGTTTAGCACGACGGGGACCCAACTCTGGACAGCTCTATCGCGGAGCTAAGCATCACTTTACCTGATACCCATATAGCCCCTACAGGGAGGATGTGTGTCTTCACTGCAGAGTTAGCCTAGGTTCTTACTCAGGGGTTGCCCCGGCCCCACTCCCATCCAAATGCAAACCCTTCCCTCTCACCCAAGTTCAGTGGTGCTTTCAACCCAGGCTAGCTGGCCTGGTGGTGGTGGAGTGTTAGCTTTCACTTTCACTGTGACCCACCTGCTGCCATGAGAATACTGATAAGTCACTCCAGGGCCTTCCCACAAGAGTGACAAGCCAAGGTGATCTCAGCAGCAGTGTTTGAATGGACCACTGTGAGCACCCGAGGTGTTTCTGGAGGACGAGGCTCTGAGGTCTACCCCACACTGCTATGGTGCCTGGTGGCTGTGAAGCCCTGCCATGTCTGCAGGCTCAGATCTTAAACCCATGTTTTTTATATTCCTATATAAAAAGGAATTTGAGGTGAAAGCCCAAGCAGGTTTAAAAGCAAAGAAGCCACATGGCTTAAAAGGATTAGGAAAGAATGTGCTGAAGAACCAACTGAAAAAAGAACTTTAATACCCTAGCTGAGCTGGTCAGAAAACCTTCACCTGCTGGAAGCCAGGAAAGAACAGATCCGGCAGGTCTGCGCAGCTGGTACTTACGGTTTCCCGTTAGAGTGAACCAATGGCATGTTTTATTTGTTCTTGTCTCCATCTGCTGGTAGGAGTGGGAGGTCGTATTCCTCGCTGCCTGGCGTTTCAGGAGACAGGAAAATAAGGGTTCAATTCTCCTCTCATTTGCAACAGCTCTATGCCAAATATCAATCCATCGACTACAGTAGAATCACTCCTGACGTGCACTGGTGGAAGTGAGATGAGGCTTTAAAAACTAGCAACGGGTGAGATTTCGTCTATAATGTGAGCAGATGAAAAGCAGGTGTTTGTCACAAGCCTCGGAGCAGTTATTCTTTCTCAAGAGCAAGGAGGCTGCAAGGCCAGACCAGCGCTACAGTGAGCCTTAGGAATAAGAAAAGCAGATGAACAGAGACACCTTCAAGCCAGCCCAGGAAGCAGACACCTCAGACCAAGGGGTTAAATTCACCAATGGGCGGAGTGCCAACATCATGTGGACCGTTTAAGTCCCACTTAAGCTGTTAGGCCCCGATCCTGCAATGAGATACAAACAGGAAGACTGTCTGCACTCATGCTCAGTCCCTCTAAAATCAATGAAGGACCGCAGGATCGGGGCTCAGGGTTTAAGTGAGACTTCAGTGGTACATAGGCCTTGCATTGGTCCTCTGCCCGGGGGTGAATTTCACTTCCTCTGTAGGACTATTTTCATTGTTTACAGCAATACATCCCACATGGAGCCATTCATTCTATGGCAATACAGAGGATAAAGGAAAACAAACCATAGCAGCGGGTAATTAGCAAGGGACCTGGAGGAACCAAGGAGCTGCTCCTCAGATATCAGAGAGACCTTACTCTGCTTGTCAGTAAGCACTCTGCAGAAGAGGACTGCTCTTCAAGATGTGGTCCTGACACTAACAGGAGGAAGAAGTAGATGCAAAAGGAGAGTCCTCACCTCCACTGTCATCTGGTAATGCAGGAGATCAAAAAGCTCTCGTTAGGTGTCTTGCTTGTTTCTCATCCCAGCGGGCTGGCGGCGGGTGGGAAAGAAGTCTTCAAAAGTCTGAACACGCCAGGACAACCCAACCACAGATTTTACATTAGAACATTTATTTCTCAGAGAGAAAATAGAGTTTCAGACAGTCAGATTATAGTAGGTAAAATTAGCATTTTTTTTCTTTACAAGCATAGATTTTCTTATTACCTCTCTTATACCATCTGATATAAACAATTCTAGAAAGCAAATAAACTCACTTTCTACAATAAATAGAGCAATCTGTGCTTTACAGCAGACTGACAGTAACGTTTAGGTCCCGTAGCAACAGCAGGATATTAGCCAATTAAAATTCTAAAATGTCATAAAAAAAAAAAAAAAAAGGAAACAAAACAAAACAAATCCCCCACCCTGCCCCCAAGATCTTAAAACAGTTATACACAGGTCACAAGTCCACAGCTGAGATACTATCTGGAAAAAGTGTATGTTCCTTTAAATAAATTATACTGTGTGCATACAAAAAGACCCAGCAACACAACTGAGGACTTTCAAGAATGGTGACAATAGGCCTGAATAATTTAGAACGATATTTTACAACTATGTACACAACTTCCTTCCCTTCCACACTCTTTAGGGATTATTATTATTTTTACAAAATCTTATACCCCGTCTTTATACAGGTATTTTCCTTAAGGTGTGGTTCCATGTCCCAATGTATAAGAAGTGGTACTTTAAAAAAGTAGACCAAGTAGAAATGGCAGTGATCCCCCCCCCATTTATTATTATTTTCTCCCCACATTCTCTTTAGTATGAAAAAGTTAAAATAATAAAAAAGGATTGAGTTAAAAAGCGAAAGGGTGATATTCTGTCTGCAATCTTGAATCTGCACCTTTGGTTCTTAAAATTTAAAAGGAAAAAAAACCCCCCACAATAGAACAGATAAGAGAAATGATGAATCCTTGGCTAATAGAAAAGAAAAGTTTTGTCATCAGCTTTCAAACATTAGCTGTCCCTGGTTTTGCAATAGAAAAGCAGTAAAACAGGGTTCTCTGCAGAGCTGGGTTTTTGTTTTTTGTTTTTTGTTTGGAACGGATCGCAAATGCTAGAGACCCACAGAGCAGGGAAGAGATGTGAACGGGTGAAATGGTTATGTGCTCCAGCTAGCAGAAATCCAGTCACAGCTTTAATTCAGTCCAAACCAAGCTGGAGGAAAACTTTAAAAAGACAGTCCGTGAAAAAATAAGGGCAGAGAAGAATTGGGGGGTCTGACATTCCAACTAGTTATTTTAAACTGAACACGCATAAAACGACACCACAGGGCGTGTCTTCCTCCCGCCCTGATCAACGTTAGTGTCTGTCAAGCTGCTCCAGCTGATTAGACACTTCCAAAATTAGGTTAAAAAAACATAAAAGACGTTTTCTTGCCCAGACTCAATACTCTGTTAAGATGCAATATGAAGAACATGTTCTTGGAATTGTCACATAGTCACTGAAATTGAAATTTACGCATGAAACTATTGACTATAAATGTCTAGGTCACACACACATAAAAATAAAAAATAAAATTAGGGGACTTGTTTTTTATATTTAAAGCTCTGTGCATTTGTGCATGTGTGCGTAAGGAGAAAGGGAGAGTTATCAAAATATGATCTCAGTCTTTTCTAGTTGTGGTGAAAACCTACCATGAAAACATATTATATATACATAGGCATGAGAGTCATAACAATAACAGTAGGCTGCAAATTTGTTAACGCTATGGGGCAACCAATGTCATTTAAAAAATGAAATTAAAAAAGTCCAGTGATGGTTATTGTAAATTTGGCACAAGACAGTCCAGCAGGAGTTCCACTAAAGGGTACTGGTTTATTTACAATGGTGATGGATTCCAGAGAATTACTCAGAGCTGGCTGCAGACTAAAAACCCAAGAGGTGTGGGGCGTGATGTCCAACCATCAGACTCCCCCCCCACACTTCACCAGCTTCTTTCTTGTGGTCCAGCCTAATAGATCACTTCCTCTCCTGCCGGCTCTTCAATGAGACACATTCAGAAAGAATCCGGACAGGCTTTTTGGCACGAATCAAGGTACTTTATAGGAGCTTCTTACACTGCTAGGCATAGTGCATCTCTCACAGGAACACAAAAGAGCACATCAGACGCCCCATCACGCTCCCCCAGGCAGGGAGGAATCCCCTACCGTTCTGTGCATGGCAAGGTCCACCGTGCCAACAGGTGCAAGCACTGGGTCTGAAAAAATGGGGCAGAGTGGGCATTTCCGACTCTCTACAGATAATTTGACGTGACAAAGGGGTGGTCTCCCCGGACGCGGCTCATGTGGATCATTGCTCGGTCGTACGCCACCTGGACGGACTTGCGGATGCTGGTTTTTCGGCCCTCCATCATCTTTAGCTTGTCCACTGTGTCGTCCACCCCAAGGGGAAGAACTTTGTCCCGCGGAAGCCATTGCCTGCAATCCAAGCAGAATACCAAAAACCCTGTCACCGAGAGAAATGGAGAGAGGGCAGATGGGAAAGAATGGCCAATGGCCCAGGGCCACCGAGACTTCCAGCCCTTTCAAGGCTAAGGGCTAAAATCTCTCTAGCTTTGCAGAAAGCTACATTCATACAGTGCAATGAAGCTTGAGAATCCCTGTGCTATGCCTCTTGTGGATGGAGTCACTATGTCGGTGTAGTATACCACTTACATCGACAGGACAAGGCTGTAGTGTAGACATTGACGTAAGCAGGCCAACATGAGCTGCCTTACGTCGACCTGTGTATTGCAGACCATGCCTAAGGGAGTTCGGAGCTCACTGAAATGGAATGTGGATGTCTAATTCCCTTAGGCTCCTTTGAAAAGCCTAGCCTCATTCCATTTTGCAATGCCAGAGGAGAGTTAATAATAAAAGAAGAAAGAAAAATCCTATTCATTATCTCTTCTGGGTTCCCTAGTGTATTTGTCTACTCTGTGTCTACTTTGTTCAGAGTGTAAGCTCTTTGAAACAGTGATCTGAAGTGCACATGGATATTACCTACCATGTGACTTTTACCTGCACAGTCAGTTCCTCTTTCCTTGTGGGACCTCCTGATTCACTAATTCAGCTCCTTGAGGGTACGGCTATCAGCATCATTATAGGTACTCACCTCTCTCCCAGGACGTCTGCAGTGTTGTTGTAGTGTATTGGTCCCAAGACATGAGAGAGACAAGGTGGGTTATGTAATATCTTTTAGTGGACCAACTTCTCCAGAAACCTGAAGAAGAGCTCTGTGTACCTCGATAGCTTGTCTCTTTCACTCACAGAACCTGGTCCACTAAAAGATATTAGCTCACCCGCCTTGTCTCTCCCAGGTGTCGCTCCAGTTTTACAATCTTTACATTGCTTCACATATGGATTTCAAGGCTTTCTTGCTTATTTTCAAAGCACTTCATTGGCTTGGGGCTTATTATATCTGATCGGTCTTTTGCTACCATATAAACCTGGTCCTCCACTGAGGCCACGATCAGGAGGGTATTTAGTCTGTCTGAGATCAAACGATAAAGTCCTTGAGAGCTAGGCACAAAAATTGCACTTGGATGCCTTATGATAGGTTCCTAAAATCTGTAATATGGAACTTCAACAAATAGCCTGACCTGGAAACTGTAGGCACTCAGCATCTCTGAAAAATGTGGCTGCTTGTTTAGGTGTCTAAATATGGAATAAGTCTAACGTTTTGAAAATGCTGACCTAGAGATTTCAGCAAACTTTCTCTACAACGGTAGAACTGGATGCACGGTCTGCCTCAGCTTTCAGAACAAAAGGCACTTTTTATTGGCTGCTGATTTTGACTGTAAAATTAGTTCTCGATACAATTCAGTATTTTTCCTGTAAAAGCATCCTGTGACCCTGGAGGAAGGCCATTGTGCAAATAAATGCCTCTTCCAGCTGCTGATCATGTAAGCAGGAGACCCCACTGTCATGCATTCGGGCAAGGGAGAGGTGTGCAAACCCCTTCAAGGAGATTTTTGCGACTGCTTTGTCTTTAAAAATGCTCCACCTTAAATCTGCCTTAATAATGTTAAATCTTCCTTCTGGGCAGCCCATCCCACGATGTCTGTTCACTCACCAGGTTCTCTTGTTGTCAAAGAATAGGACAAGGAAGAGCTTTTCTCCTGCCTCTGTCTGTTTCTGCTCCCCCAACTTCAAAACATCCAGGGGAGGGACAGGGATGGGGACTCCGTTGTGAAGGAGGCCCTCGCGCGGCATCTTGGGATCAATTATCTGGAGAGACAGTTGAGGCGCACGGATCAGTATTTCGAAAGCCCCACCACAGGAAGACTCCTGCAAGTTCAGCCTAAGAGCACAGCCCTGCTCTGCACTGCCTGAGCAAAAAGGCACCGGGGGGAGGGAACCTGCAGGGAACAGGAGGGAGGAAGAGGATGCGAGTGCGTGCAGAAGAGTTCAGACTTTTGATGGCAGACATGGGATTTCCCAATGCAAAAGACATTTGTGCTAATAGACGGGCTCCCGACTTGCTCAGCACCAGAGATGAAACAACTTTATAGCCAAGCTAAATGCAGTCTGAAGCCAGTGAGTTTACATGGGATATCAGTCAGGACTGAAATGGTCAATGGGAGCCATACAAGTACCTAAGATAGTTAGATAGTCATTATGATTATAATTTCATATTTATATTACAGTAGAAATCAGAGGCTCTGGTCAGGATCAAGGTCCTATTATGCTAAACATGAAGCCCTGAAGAAAAGCAGAGAAAGCATAGCTTATCTATACTCTCTCTCTTGCAGTATGTCCAAGCTAGATAGTTAAAGTAACCTATGGCATATAAGCAAGAGGCACCCTCCTGCTCCATTTGAGTAACGCTCTGCATAGAGCCTTCGTAGAAGCGGCTTTGTCTCTAGGGCGTATGCAGTATTGTGGGAGACCCATAAAGGTCTCCAGCCAAGAGGCTAATGTTGAAAGGGAAAGGACATGAACATACAGCATTGAGTTAGGCACTGTCACAATACTGTATTTTAATATATACTTTTTTGGTAGCCAATAACTCAGTATAAATCCAGTATTTTATTATTTAAAGAGGGCTTTCCCCCTAAGTTCACACAGTAAATGTGACAAGATTATTACATCCAATAGGCATAAGTTGATCTCACTCATGCCAGTGTTACCCAGCTGCAACTCCATGGACTTCAGTGGAGTTACTTCTGAATTTACACTGGTACTAAATGAGAATCCGGTCCAGTATTTCAGAAGTGTTGACAGGCAGTGCCAGACCCGGGGGTACTCTGGACAAAAATGCAGTCATTTAGGGCAGATCTAAAAGTAGATGTATCAATTCTTTCTGCATAAAGCAGATATGCCAGTGTGCCAACATTTACTTGAAGTCAGATGGGGTAGATGAAACTGCAGAAACCAGATATGAAACCAGGTCCAGTCTTCTGTGCTTTCCGACCTGGGCGCAGAGATGCATCCTACTGGCTTGGTTGACCAGTTGGGCTCTGACACTGGCCAGCTGGACGAATTTGAAAACACTCTTTATCAGCACAGCAGATTGTGCCCTGTTTCAAACATGACATAAGACTCTGTCTATACTGATATAACCATTTAAAAACCAAGCTTCAACACAGTCTAAACTCTGCTTGTGGCCAAACTGGGATGGCACAGAACAATTGTTCTCTACCTTGGGCTCCTACCTGGGCTAGGAACATGGTTTATGAATACCATTCTAGCATAGTTTGGTCCTGTCTACAGTAACTGGCCAAACAGTGATGGAATTCTGTTTGGCCACAAACAAGTATAAACCCTGGTTACGCTCAAGCATGGTGTTAAAACTCTGCTGTTTCACCAGAGTTGATGGCGCCTTTGTACTTTCCATGCCTTTGTCTACAATAGCTTTTATTTCCTACAATTTTCCATCAAAGGGGTCAAAGGGTAACCAGCTACCATCAGCTTTGTGTCTATCCTAGCACTCCCAACAATGCAGATGCACAAGTGGTAGCCATACTGGGAAATTACACAGACAAGGGGAACAAAAAGATCAGCTTCTTGAGAGACGTCTTTGTTCTAGTCAGCAGAAACTGTGAAGAGTAGAATCACACTTACTGCTTATCTGGCTCCTGTTCAAACTTATGTCAGAATTCTCTCTTTATTGGTTATTTAAATAATGCTTGTAAAACACAGTGCTAACTACACTTTTTAGCAATAGCGGTGTTCATTGTCTTAGACCATGAACTCTAGCACTTTTCCTTTAAACCCCTGATGCCAGTTTATGGATTTCTTAGCAACAGCCTGTGCACCCATCTCGAAAGGTACTAAGGGAGTGTTGTTCAAAAGGCCAGGTGCCTAAGGCTTGGCGCAAAAATGTGCATGCAACAGCATAGCTAATTTGCACATGCAATTATTGTAATTGTACCCATTCATTGGGTATCTGCACATGCAAATGGCCCGTTAGGAATCTACATGTGTGAATGCAGAAATTATGCAAGCAAAGTGTGTAACTGCACCTGCATGTTTCATGTGGCCAACAGCACAGATAGCTCTCGCAATGCGCCAGAACAGTGAGCAAGATAGGAGAAGAAAGTGCTCATTTTTTGGCACCAACAGATTTATGTTTTGCAACATTTTCCCAATGGTCTGAAACAATGAGCAAAATGGCAGTTGACAGTGCGAAGGAAAGAACCAAGCATTACGTGAACAGGAGGAAGTTTCTCTTTTCTAACTGGCTACGCTGCACCCCCAGCACTGGACTCTGCGTTGCTAACCTTGCTGCTACAGCAAGGGAGGACCCTGTGCGACAGGTGTACTTACCAAGGCAGGGTAGGACGGATAGCCTCGACACTTTGCCCACACGAGCTCCAAAGGTTCCAGTTCAGCATGGCTCTCAAACGGCATCAGGAGGTTTCTGCCTAAGGGGTCACAAAGAAACACGACTTAGAAGTGCCTGAGCATTAATATAGAGAAGTAGGGAACAGAAGAAACATCTCTGTCTACGAACTCAGACACACCAGCTCACACGTTCTCCAAAGCAACCGGCTAATGCAGATGAGACTGCTGTGGTGGCTAAAATACATGAGCAGAATTCCTGGCTTGCTTTTTTAAACCTCCTTGCTATGTGGTAAGTGCACAGCTGAAATTTCACTGTGTTCAAAATAAACCTACATCCGCCCCACCTTTTACCCCTCAAACAGATCCACGTCACCACTAGTACGTGTGCGGCTACATCCATTTTATAATCAACCCCATTTTCCTGATGGAGGGATGACGCAAAATGAAAAGTCACTTGTTTTTGCCTTCTGCTGCCACCCCATGTCCCTGCTCCAAGGCTCTATGTTGTTGTGCAACACCAGAAACAGAGTTGATTCACACCCTCATGCAGAGCAGGGCGTAAAGTAAGCAGGAAGGGTCTCCACCTCCTCTCCATGCCTTGAGTAAGGAGCAGTCCCACACAGTACCCCTTCCTCTTGGGGTGGTGCAATGAGAGCTCCCCCTCCTGGGCTAATCTATTTTAATTACTGTGCTGGACAATCTGGCTTCATGACTCAGGGCTTGGAAGTTGGAGACTGGGATCTGTCCACCTGCGACTATAAGGTCAGTTGTTTGGAGATGATTATTATTTATTAATTATTATTATTATTTGTATTACCGTAGTGCTAGGAGCCTGAGTCCTGGTCCAGGACCCCACTCTGCTAGAGGCTGTACAAGCACGGAACAAAAAGATGGTCCTGGAATTTCCCCAGCCAGACACGAGGTGGGTCTCACTGGTCCCATGCCAACCTTGCTCTCTTCTGATGCAAAATGCACATGGCTGTGCCTCCGGGATGCCACTGCAGCCCTGCTTGGCCCCAGACCAACAATATTTTATAAATCGTTACTTCCCTAATAGTAAAACTGCTCCAGCTCCTCCAAATCCTGAAACACTCGGGCGTGGCTCAGCAGGGTCCCCAGTACAGCTCTCGCAACATCGGGGAAAGGCGAGCAAAGAACAGCTGAGAAGGCGATAAGTGCTTTTCCTCCTGATCTCATTTCCCAATACAACATATTTAACAGCAGTGCTTCAGTTAAGGTTTTATTAAAAGCTCAGTTCGGTGATTTAGAAACACACACATCTAAAAAACATAACGGTTGAGAAAAAGGGAATGCTAAGACCTGTAGCTGACTTCAACGGCAGTTGTGGGGGCTCAACACCTCAGAAAATCAAGCCCTATGTGACTTCTAAGCAGGACTTTGTCACTGAATTTTTTCAGAAGAGTCACTGGGTGATAACAGTAGTGCATGTAGCGTGACGACAGCTGGAATAGTTCTGAACAGAAGAGTCACCAAAGCAGGGGATACTTTTGTAAACACCAGTACAAATAACGGGTGACGTTCACTCTTGTGCAAAGAGCAGGCTCAAAGCATTTCACACCACTTCAACCTTCAAAATCGGGTTTAAGTGTCACTTTAGTGCAGGGGTGAATTCCATTCATAACAAGAAGTGCTTTGGGGAAAGATGAGGTTTGACCCCTTTTTAATTTTTTGAAAGGAGAGAAAAGAGGAATATTAGGCTTGTCTTCATGATCAACTGGTTTGCAGCAAGCTGGGACACGAATCTATGCCGCACTAGCCTACCACAGACCAGCCATCTGTGCGCACCCTGCTGACGCACATTAATGTTTAATTAATGCTCTTTGATCTAGTCATCTTTGAAACGGGACTAGATCAAAGCACACTAAATAACTGTTAATGCACATCAGCAGGGTCCACGCGGACAATTAGTCCACAGCAGTCTAGTGCGGGGTAGATTCACATCCCAGCTTGCCGTAAAATTAATGGTTGTATAGATGAGACCATAAGAATAGCCATACCGGGTCAGACCAAAGATCCATCTGGCCCAGTATCCTGTCTTCCGAGAGTGGCCAATGCCAGGTGCCCCAGAGGGAATGAACAGAACAGGTAATCATCATGTTACGTCCTTAGTTGTGTTTTTATATGCAATGCAGGATTTAGGGGAGTTCTTGCTTCCTGCTGTTGAAAGGAACCAGCCAAAATGACTTGAGATACTTGAGGTTGGATACTCAATGGTCCAGAGCCGTCAAACAACGGCAGAGGTGCTTCAGAGGGTCAAAAGTCTTAAGAGCTGGGGAGTTTCTCACGGCACTCATACCGGAGGCAAAAGACACAGGAATGATAATCCTGCACTGATGATTTCATTACAGAAATATTAACCCGCATTATAAAACTGCAGAAACTCTGGCACAGAGAGTTGAAGTGACTTGCCCTAGATGGCACAGCAACTCAGTGGCAGAGCTAGGAGGAGAATCCAGGGGTTCTACCTACCAGTTACCAGCTCTACCAACTAGACACAGTCTCCTCCATTTAAGATGTTGTTTTATACGCTACTTCTTTGTGTTGCCACGGTGGTGTGGCTGGGCTTCCAGCCAATCACACAGCCCATGGTTTTACTGTGCACCTCACAGTGAGGTTTATTCATCTATTTTACCACCTAAGCCACGAAAACCTCTACAATATCAAAAGTTGTGAACATTAAAACAAAACAACCCCCACAAAACACTCACGGAAGATCTCGTAATCGATGGGTCCCATGGCAAAAGCCCAGCCTTATTAATGCTATGGTAATATATATAGTCAGGCTTGCAAGATCAGAGCCTCTTAATTCATAGGGTCACCACAACTCCCTTCTCATAGCCTAAATTGCAACCCCAACCACATGCCTGAATCAAGAGACACCTTTCACATAGAAACACTGATCAGATTCAGTTCTAGAGTAAATTGGTGTAGCTCCCCTAAAACCAAATCATCAGAGATTAATTTGACCCTGTAAACCCCAGAATAAAATTATAACGGGTTAAATCCACCCCTAGTGAATCTCTACTGAAATCACTGAAGTTACACTATGGATGAATCTGCACCACTGTTCAGACAGCAGGATTTTTTTCAATGGAGTACAAACACGCAGGCTATTCTGCTGTCACGTATCTGGCTGCTTAATCCCTGCAGGGAATGTCTAGCTCAGGTTGATGGAATAAGATTAGCTACCATTTTTATCATAGCCAAGGCTGCAAAAGTTCCACATGGGGGACACATGACTAATCTGCTAGCTCCTGGCTTTTGAGAAGGAGTTTTAATTAATGTGAATTTCACAGGGTGAGAGAGTCTCTGCCCGAGGTGAACAGTCACTATACTGTAGAATGCAGACTATAGACTGCATTGGAAGTCAGAATGAATCAGAGAAATGCATACATAGGATGACCTAAATGAGGGTGAGATTGGGAAATATATGACGTATATTTTCTTTTGCTATCCCAAAGTGAGGTTAAAACACACAGAGCTCTCCCAGAGATTCAAACTTCCCCAGAAGTGGGCTCGCTCTGTAAAACTTATCTCAGCAGCAGTTTGCCGAGTGTACAATATCCTTGACAATAATCGTTTCCATTGAGCTAGGAGACAGAGTCCAGTGGCTATAAAGAAGGGGATAGATGTATAGTAGAGAGTTAAGATTCTGATCTCAGCTCCAGTAGTGTAAATCTGCACTAACTCCACTGACTGACCTCCGTACCTGAAATTGGAATCTGATCACTGGTGTGCTAGAAAACCAGAGAATTGCCTTGGGTAGTATTAGAAGAGTGTGGCTCCATGACACTGATGTATGGCACCCACTGACAAGGAAAGTAGTGACAGTGAACAGCTATAAAGTCATTTTCAGAGACGGCACTCCTTTTATTAGTATTATTTATTATTAGTATTATTTATTATATGTACGCCTCAGAGTCCCAATCACAAACCAGGACCCGTAGTGCCAGACTGTGCCTGCCCCAAAGAGCTTCTTCTGTAGACATTATTCTCACCTGAGCTGCTGTAATCAGAGTCTCCATTCACACCATCCAAGAAGGGGACCCGAGAAAGGGCTGGCTTCCCTCGACTACGTTTGGGAGGAGTCAAACCGCTGTTAAAAAGAAACAAAAAGTAGAGTGTTAGGGAAAGCAAGATTTCACTACAAAGCACAGCAGAGTTACGGATTCTCCAGCTGTTTGGAAAATGCAGGGAAATTATTGGACTGATGCAATCTCGATATGAAAAGAACACTAAAGATCTACTTTCAGCAGGTCTCATTAAATGCTCCAGTAAAATTTGCCAATATATCTGCTTTGATATATTTTTGTGGGTGCAGTTAAGGAGACTCGCTGAACTTGAGGGAGAAACCCATCAAAGAAGTGTACACTAAGAGTCAAATCTACAACACTTAAACTCAACAAGTTTACCTGGTTTGTGTTTAGACACTGGAGGATAAAACAGTAGCCAACCTCTTTGAAACCGATTCTAATGGATAAACAATAGGGCTCCAGTATCAGATTTTCAGGATCTCTTTTTCCTTGTTCTTTATTACCGAGAACATTTATGAAAACAGTATCCCTACAGCTGAAGAATTTAGTAACTCTTGATTTTTGTTCCCTAGCTGAAAATGTTCATTTGTAACATTATAGTAATTTCCTAGTAACCAATTATTTTAAAACAGTAAAGAGAACTGACCCTACATAGAATAATTGTATATGTTTTCCATGACGTATCAGGCTAATTTTCAACTCCTTGTTTTGTGTGCATCCCACAACTCTAACATCATTTTTGAGATGTGAATTACTTGTAATTATAATAAGCATTTACATAGCACTTTTCATCTTCAGAGTGTATTATAAAACATTAACTAATCTTTACAATTCCGTTGTGAGCCAAGTAACATTTTTTCCATTTTATAGGTACGGAAACGGGCAAAAAAGGTGAAGTGACACTGAATTCCGGGCCACTGGTCCTGTTCTTAGACCACTGGACCATTCTTACTTCTTTAAGAAACTTCCAGTGGATACAGAAATATCTACCTAATCAGTATTAGAACTAATTATGAGCCCAATTCTCCCACTCTTGCTCACACTAAGTAGTAAGGTAACTCCCTTCTCTTCATGTGCCAATATATTTATGCCTGTATCTGTAATTTTCACTCCATGCATCTGAAGGAGTGGGGTTTTTTACCCACGAAAGCTTATGCCCAAATAAATCTGTTAGTTTTTAAGGTGCCACCGGACTCCTCATTGTTTTTGTGGATACAGACTAACATGGCTACCCCTCTGATACTAAGTAGCAAATTACTCTGTGAGTAGTTCCATTGGTTTTGATGTCCCATTAGCTTCATCAGGACGACATATGGAACAAGAGTCTACTCAACCTAACTAGAAGTGGCAAAACTGACTTAGATCATATTATTAGCAGGACGCCCCCTACAAGGGCTGATGAAAAGGTGCACCTCACAGGGAGAGTACTTGGAGGCACTATGCCTCAGAGAGGCACAACATCTAGGGTTGCCAACTTTCTACTTGCACAAAACTAAACACCCTGGCCCTACCCCCTACCCCGCCTCTCCTCTGAGGCCCTGCCCCCTGCTCACTTCATTCCCCCTCCCTCTGCCGCTCACTCTCCTCACCCTCCCTCACTCGCTCATTTTCACTGGGCTGGCTCAGGGGGTTGGGGTGTGGGAGGGGGTGAAGGCTTTGACCCGGGGGGGGGGCGGGCTCTAGGCTGGGGCCAGGGATGAGGGGCTTGGGGTGCAGGAGGGGGGTCCGGGCTGGGGGGGTGGAGCAAAGGGGTTCAGAGTATGGGAAGGGGCTCTGGGTTGAGGCAGGGTGTTGAGGGAGGAGGTATGGGCTCTGGGCTGGGGGTGCAGGTTCTGGGGTAGGACCAGAAATGAGGGGTTCAGGGTGCAGGAGGGGGATCCAGGCTGGGGCAGGAGTGCAGGGGGTGTGAGGGCTCCAGCTTCGGATGCAGGCTCTGGGGTGGGCCAGGGGATGAGGGGTTTGGAAGGTGATCCTGGCTGGGACCGAGGGGTTTGGAGGGCAGGAGAGGGATCAGAGCTGGAGCAGGGGGTTGGGGAGTGTGTGTGTGTGTGTCAGGGGTGCAGACTCCAGGCGGCGCTTACCTCAGGCAGCTCCCAGAAGCAGCAGCATGTCCCCCCTCTGGCTCCTACATGGAGAGGTGGCCAGGCGGCTCTGCGCACTGCCCCATCCTCAGGCACCGCCCCCACAGCTTCCATTGGCTGTGGTTCCTGGCCAATGGGAGCCGTAGAGCTGGCACTTGGGGCGGGGGCACTGCGCGGACCCCCTGGCTGCCCCTACGCCGAGGAGTCGGAAGGGGGCCGTGCTGCTGCTTCTGGGAGCCGTGCAGAGCCATGACAGGCAGGGAGCCTGCCTTAGCCCTGCTGCACTGCCAACTGGACTTTTAACAACCCAGGCAGTGGTGCTGACTGGAGTCACCGGGGTCCCTTTTCGACCGGGCATTCTGGTCAAAAACCAGACACCCAGCAACCCTCAACATCTGAGAAGTATGGGGAATAAGCAGGAAGAACTAGAAGTATGGGGAAATAACAGGAAGAATTAGAAATGCTAGTGAATAAACACAACCATGACATAACTGGCATCACAGAGACTTGGTGGGATAATACAAATGACTGGACTATTCGGATAGAAGGGTACAGCTTGCTCAGGAAGGACAGGCAGGGAAATAAGGCAGGAGATGTTGCCTTATACACTTGGACTGAGGTTGAGATGGCAATAGGAGATAGACTTGTGGAAGGTCTCTGGGTAAGGATAAAAGGTGTATAAAACAAGGGTGATGTCATGGTAGGGGTCTACTACAGGAAGAAGAGGTGGATGAGGCTTTTTGAAACAACTAACAGAATCATCCAAAGCACAGGACCTGGTGGTGATGGGGGACTTCAACTACCCAGACATCTGTTGAGAAAATAACACAGCAGGGCACCAATTAACCAACAAGTTCTTGGAATGTATGAGAGACAATTTTTTGTTTCTGAAGGTGGAGAAAGCTACTAGGGGAGAGGCTGTTCTAGATTTGAATTTGACACATGGGGAGGACATGGCTGAAAATCTGAAAGTGGAAGGCAGCTTGGATGAAAGTGATCATGAAATGATAGAGTTCATAATTCTAAGGAATGGTAGGAGGAAAACAGTCCTGTAAAGATAATGGATTTCAAGAAGGCAGACTTTAGTAAACTCAGGGAGTTGGTAGATGAGATCCCATGGGAAGCTAGTCTAAGGGGAAAAACAGTTCAAGAGAGTTGGCAGTTTTTCAAAGAGATATTAGCAATGGCAGAAGAGCAAACTATCCCACTGCGTAGGAAAGATAGGAAGTCTGGCAAGAGACCACGCTGGCTTATCCTTTAATGATCTGAAACTCAAAAAAGAGTCCTATAAAAAGTGGAACCTAGGTCAAATTACAAAGGATAAATATAAACAAATAACACATGTATGCAGGATCAAAAATAGAAAAGCCAAGGCACAAACCAAGATTTAACTAGCTAGAGATAAAAAGGGTAACAAGAACACATTCTACAAATACACTAGAAGCAAGAGGAAGACCAAAGACAGGGTAGGCCGGTTACTCAGAAAGGGGAGGTGGGGGGGGAAGCAATAACAGAAAATGCGGAAATGGCAGAAGTGTTGAATGACTTTTTTGTTTCAGTTTTCTCCAAAAGAGTTTAATAGCGATTGAACGTCTAACACAGTGAAAGTGAGGTAGGATCAGAGGATAAAATAGGGAAAGAACAAGTTAAAAATTACTTAGACAAGTTAGATGTCTTCAAGTCACCAGGGCCTGATGAAATATGTCCTAGAATATTCAAGGAGCTGACTGAGGAGATATCTGAGCCATTAGCAATTATCTTCAAAAAGTCATGGAAGACAGGAGAGATTCCAGAGGAATGGAAAAGGGCAACTATAGCGCCCATCTATAAAAAGGAGAATAAGAACAACCCGGGGAATAGACCCGTCAGCTTAACTTCAGTACCCAGAAAGATAATGGAGCAAATAATTAAGCAATGAATTTGCAAACACCTGGAAGATAATAAGGTGATAAGTAACAGCATGGCTTTGTCGAGAATGAATCGCGTCAAACCAATCTGATAGCTTTCTTTGACAGGGTACCAAGCCTTGTAGATGGGGGGAAGCAGTAGATGTGGTCTATCTTGACTTTAGTAAGGCTTTTGATACTATCTCGCATGACCTTCTCATAAACAAACTAGGGAAATACAACCTAGATGGAGCTACTATAAGGTGGGTGCAAAACTGGTTGGAAAACCGTTCCCAGACAGTAGTTATCAGTGGTTCAGTCAAGCTGGAAGGGCATATGAAGTGGGGTCCCGCAGCGATCAGTTCTGGATCTGGTTCTGTTCAATAACTTCATCAATGATTTAGATAATGGTATAGAGCAGTGGTTCTCAAAGCTGGTCCGCCGCTTGTTCAGGGAAAGCCCCTGGTGGGCAGGACCGGTTTGTTTACCGCTGCGGGAAGGGCGGTCAGCACGTCTCTTGGCCCGCATCACTTCCTGCAGCCCCCATTGGCCTGGAGTGGCGAACCGTGGCCAGTGGGAGCCGCGAGGGGCCGAACCTGCGGAAGCGGCAGGTAAACAAACCGGTCCGGCCCGCCAGGGGCTTTCTCTGAACAAGCGGCGGACTGGCTTTGAGAACCACTGGTATAGAGAATACACTTCTAAAGTTTGCAGACGAGTTGTTGCAAGTGCTTTGGAGGATAGGATTAAAATTCAAAATGATCTGGACAAACTATAGAAATGATCTGAATTAAATAGGATGAAATTCATTAAGGACAAATGCAAAGTAGTCCACTTAGGAAAGAACTATCAGTTGCACACATACAAAATGGGAAATGACTTCCTACGATGGAGTACTGAGGAAAGGGAGCTGGGGTCATAGTGGATCACAAGCTAAATACGAGTCAGCAGTCAACACTTGCAAAAAAAGCAAACGTCATTCTGGGATGCATTAGCAGGAGTTTTGAAAGCAAGACGCAAGAAGTAATTCTTCTTCTGCTTAGGCCTCAACTGGAGTATTGTGTCCAGTTCCGGGCACCACATTTCAGGAAAGATGTGGACAAAGTAGAGAAAGTCTAGAGAACAGAAAACAAAATGATTAAAGGTCTAGAAAACATGACCTATGAGGGAAGATCGAAAAATTGGGTTTGTTTAGTCAGGAGAAAAGAAGACTGAGAGAGGACATGATAACAGTTTTCGAATACATAAAAGGTTTTTACAAGGAGGAGGAAGATAAATTTTTCTTGTTAACGTCCGAGGATAGGACAAGAAGCAATGGGCTTAAATAGCAGCAAGGGCAGTTTAGGCTGGACGTTGGGAAAAACTTCCTAACTGTCAGGGTAGTTAAGCACTGGAATAAATTGCCCAAGGAGGTTGTGGAATCTCTGTCACTGGAGCTTTTTAAGAGCAGGTTAGACAAACACCTGTCAGGGATGGTCTAGATAATACTTAGTCCTGCCATGAGTGCAGGGGACTGGACTAGAAGACCTCTCGAGGTACCTTTCAGTCCTACAATAAAATTCTATGATCTGCTGTGGGAAGTAACTCACTACACCCCCTGTCAAGGTTCCTCCCCAACTCTGAACTCTAGGGTACAGATGTGGGGACCTGCATGAAAACCTCCTAAGCTTACTTTCACCAGCTTAGGTTAAAACTTCCCCAAGGTACAAATTAATTTTATCCCTTGTCCCTGGATCTCCACTGCCACCACCAAACTCTAACTGGGTTTACTGGGAAACGTAGTTTGGACACATCTTTCCCCCCAAAATCCTCCCAACCCTGGCACCCCACTTCCTGGGAAAGGTTTGGTAAAAATCCTCACCAATTTGCATGGGTGACCACAGACCCAAACCCTTGGATCTGAGAACAATGAAAAAGCATTCAGTTTTCTTACAAGACTTTTAATAGAAGTAAAGAAATCCCCTCTGTAAAATCAGGATGGTAGATACCTTACAGGGTAATTAGATTCAAAACATAGAGAATCCCTCTAGGCAAAACCTTAAGTTACAAAAAAGACACACAGACAGGAATAGTCATTCTATTCAGCACAGTTCTTTTCTCAGCCATTTAAAGAAATCATAATCTAACACATACCTAGCTAGATTACTTACTAAAGTTCTAAGACTCCATTCCTGGTCTATCCCCGGCAAAAGCAGCATACAGACAGACACAGACCCTTTGTTTCTCTCCCTCCTCCCAGCTTTTGAAAGTATCTTGTCTCCTCATTGGTCATTTTGGTCAGGTGCCAGCAAAGTTACCTTTAGCTTCTTAACCCTTTACAGGTGAGAGGATTTTTTCTCTGGCCGGGAGGGATTTTAAAGGGGTTTACCCTTCCCTTTATATTTATGACACCCCCTTAATACCATCCTCATGGATGGACCCATTACTTTGCTAAGCCTCTATCCTCCTTGTCCTTTTGCTCCTGCAGGGATGGAAGTCAGAAGCAATCCGCAAGCTCCCTGAAATTGTGGCCAGCCCTTACCTGCCACACATGGTGTGTGTGCAGGAAAGTGTCTTTGTGTTCCTTCCAATGCAGTCATGTGAGGATAGGGCACAATCCAGCCTATAAGCAGTGGTGACGGGGCGGGGAGAGGGATGGCTAACATTCTGCTCATAGGCTATAGACTGTTTTTACAGCTTGCTCCCTCAGACCTTCCGAAATATTTGCCAAAGAAATTCAAAAGATCAGTGAGTACTGTGGACTATCTTTCTGCAAAATTGGGCTTTAAAAACAATCCTATTTGTGAGTTACAAGAGCATCTAAGAAATTTGTGTGAATTTGCTTTTCAGAATCTTTTTTATTAAAAAAGAAATGTATAAATCCAGACCGAGTTTGCTCTTGGGTTCAAATGGGTTATGTTAATTTCAGACCAGAATTAATTTCTGTTGACAAGCTGTACGCCTCTAAACACAGGTTCATAGTTGAAACACAAATCAAATCTTAGCTACAACAGCAAAATTATAGGTATCTGTTGACAGGTAACATTTTGGAACACGATGTAGCTCCTAGCGCAAAGTTTGCATCCTAAAAATGTTCCTGTGACTCTGTGCCTCAGTGGAATAGTTTATTAAGGGAAAACCATCATGATCAGTTTTAAGTTGTAGCCCCAGTTCTGAAAAGGCATGTTTGTGGGGAGAGTCTTATGCCCTTAGAGACCAAATAAAATTGCAGGATCGGAGCCTTGCATGGCTAAATGAGTATTTTCTTAGGAAGGAAGGATGGCCTAGTGCAGTGTTTCTCAGCTGGTGGGTTATGATCCCAAAGGTGTCACATAAGACAATCGGGGGTTGTGAGATGTTGAGGATATAAAAAATTTTATTAAATCTAAAACAAAGGAAATCTCGCTTCGCCACTCACACATCTCCTCCTTCAAGGTCAAGCATGATCTGGATAATCACCATTATCATTGCTACCTGAAAACATTACACTTCAAATGAGGAAGTCACCAACCTGAAAAAGTGATTAGGGCTCTGGGCTGGGACTCACAAGACCTGGGTTCAGTTCTTTGCTCTGACACAGACCAATTGAGTGACCTGGGGCAAGACACTTATCTAGCCTCTCTCAGTTCCCCATCTGTAAAATGGGAACACTACCTTCCTACCTCACAAGGGTGTTGTGAGGGAAAAATCTATCAATGACTGTGAGGTGCTCAAATTGTGAGCAGGGAGGTGTGACAGACAGAATCTATGGTCAGACTCCCAAAACAGAACAGTAATATCAATCATATCATATATACTTGTGTCTATGTCAACTTTTTCAGCCAAAAAGGGAGGTTGGGTGGTCAGTTTACAGACGAGTCAGTCCTGCCTGAGGTGCCCAGAATGGAAAAGAGAACATCTTCTAAGCACTTCTGAAGAAAGAGAGCAGCAGTGCTGGTAAGAGATAGGAGCGCATCTTCACCTCATGAGGGTTGGGCTGACCAGGTGGGACCTATGTTTCCCCAACTTTGGCTCTCTGGTAATGGATATACCTGTGTAAAAGCGGCTAGAGCATGTACATGCATATCAGGTGACATGAGTCTACTATACATCAGTACATCTAAAACATCAAACGCTGTCTTGGGATCTATGAACTGGCTTGAGAAGTATATCTGGAGTGTAAAGGGTGGAGACGCAGGAGGCTTTTGGCTCTCAGCCCCAACATTAATACAGAAGTTAAGAAACAATTTGAACAGGATTTCACATGGTGAAGTTGCCTTAGAGAGAAGGGCAAGGAAACTCAGTAAGAACATATAGGACTGACTTACACTAACGTTTAGTTCGCAAAAAGCTGGGGTGCCAATCTACCATGCACTAAGTGTCTGTGTGGACCCTACTGCTTCACACTGACAGTGCAGTCAGTCCCTAGAGCACTTTGATCCATTTCAATTTCTAAGCGGGATAGATCAAACCACCCTACGGAACTTTTAGCGCGCAGCAGTGGGGTCCATGCAGACATTTGGTGCACGGCAAGCTAGTATGGGGTAGATTTACACCCCAGCTTCGTGTTCGTGTGTAGACAGTACGTATTCTGAGGAAGGGCTCAGCGAAGGGGACTTACCTACAGGCTTCAAATGCCAGCCCACTGCCAAGGCCAGAGCTGCACTCCGAGTCAGACCCGCTTTCCGTATGTTTCCCAAAGCCGTTGGTCACTCCTGCTGAGAAGACACAAAAGAATCAGCCTAAAGGCCTGGTTTGCCTCTCCAGGACCCAAGGATGCTTGAAGGGGGAGCCCCAGAGACACCACAACCTGCTCAGGAGTTGTCACCCTAATGCTCTAGACCCTGCGAATCATACCGATAGCCAGATATTCCCACCACTCTTTTTTTTAAAAATATCTTATTTAACAGCAAAGTGAATGCTAAACTCAGTTCCCCAGACCCAGCAACAGCCAACAGGTATCTACTAAAACGGCATTTTTCCTTAACTATTTGGAACAATGGTTTAGCTTCAAACAAGGGGTCGTGGTCACCGTACTCACTGGTACATTTCTCTGATCAGTTTCTAACTGTTGATGAGAGAGCACTTCTTGCCCACCTTCCCTCTCCCCAGCACCTGCTCGTCTGTAACTCACTGGGATTACTGGAGGCAAGGCCTCTTGTCTGGACAACCAAACACCTGTTCTGGATAAATGAAGTGCTTTATTTACTGACCACTAGACAGGTTGAAGAATGACACACGCAAATCCTGGGAGCACTGATTGACTGCTGAGTCTGACCCAAGGCTAAAAGTGAAAACAGGGCCTCTCGCCTCTGTTCCCTTGTAAAGCAGCAGTACCCCCACATTTCATACAAAGGAGGCCCCTACGGAAGACCAGCGTGGGGTACAACTAGCAAAGCAGAATCAGAGGAGAGCTGAGGCAAACAAATCATCTGCTTCTTCTGGGGCTGTCTGAAAAGAAAATGAGCAAGAGTCCAGTTTTAGCATCAGGCTGTCACATGTGCCAATTAGTCAATGCACCCAGGATTTTCAAGCTCAGATCAACAGCTTGCCCATCAGTCTTATGGTGCTTTACAAAGGTGATTGAGCAATATTACCCCACTTTAAGGATGGGGAAACGGAGGCAGAGAGAGGCAAAGTAGTTTGCTCACTTTCACACAGAAAGTCAGTGGCAGAGCTGGGAACTGAACCCCAGAATCCTGACTCCCAGTCTGGTGTCATATCTGCTGGAACACTGATGGTAACTCATTCTGGCTACAACTAACAACCACAAGGATAATTGTGGGGTATTTTTTGCTAGAAAACCAAATCTGAGATCTAGAAAATGTCACCTTCGATAAAACCTGCTACCTTGGATTTCTGGATTTCCAGTGCATAGTTCACTTGAATAAGCTAGAGAGTAAGGAAGCAAATTCTCCACAGGTAGACGAAATCTCCCTCTACCATCTTTCTCTCAGGCCATTTCAAATGCCACTTTAACAATGAAATGGAATATTTAAACTTATTCCTCTGAACTCTAATATCCGAAGTTGGAAACACTCCCTAAGCTGCCCGGTTTTTCATTCTATACAATTACAGAATTTATCAACTCTACAAAACACAACCCGCATTGCAGGGACGTGGTGTTCTCTGATAAATAAACACAAATGTAGGATCATCTTTCAGCTTACAGATGAAACCATAGGTTTCAGAGTGGTAGCTGTGTTAGTCTGTATCAGCAAAAAGAACGAGGAGTCCTTGTGGCACCTTAGAGACTAACAAATTTATTTGAGCATAAGCTTTCGTGGGCTAAAACCCACTTCATCGGATGCACGCAGCGGAAAATACAGTAGGAAGATATATATACACATAGAGAACATGAAAAAATGGGTGTTGCCATACCAACTATAACGAGAGTAATCAGGTAAGGTGAGCTATTATCAGCAGGAGAAAAAAAACCTTTTGTAGTGATAATCAGGATGGCCCATTTCCAACAGTTGACAAGAAGGTGTGAGTAACAGTAGGGGGAAAAATAAGCATGGGGAAATAGTTTTACTTTGTGTAATGACCGATCCCTTCCCAGTCTTTATTCAAGCCTAATTTAATGGTGACACAAGGAGACACAAACTCCAAAGAACAGACAGGGACACACCTAAAGTGAATGGCCAGTGAGGGCTTACAGTTCCCCTCCGAGGCTGAGCACCATCATAAGAGATGCATTCCATGGATACCAGAAGCAAAATTCAGTACTGGTGTTAGCAGGTGCAACTCCATAGACTTCACCTGGACTGCATCTGGCTCTAGGTACCAGGTCACACAAGTTTCCAACCAGGCTGTCAGAATTCTAACAGGAACAAACGGGACACTTCAGAGTTGATCACCCGTATGCCTGTGTCAGTGTCACTACAATCTCTGAGCCACAAGAAACACATTTCCGGGAGACATCTGGTTCTAGTAACACAGGTCATGCTGACCTATACGCTTCAGCAGTAATGCAAACTCTGTACGCTACTCACACTCCCAACATTAAGATAAATCAGCCAGTTTTGAAGTTGGGGAAGGGACTGGATCTAAAAAGCAACATTTCAGCTCCTAGGAAAAAGAAGTAAATGCCCGTTCAGCAGTGAACGTCCTGATATCCTACCTCACTTTCTCTTCTTTCTTAATTTCATCCTCTTACTCTTAGCTAAACCTTAACCCACCTTGGACAGTTTTAAATCTTTTTCTCTGTCCTTTAAGTATCTGTAGATGGTTCTCATGTGTGCCCCAACAAGGAGTCACTGCTTAGACAAACTGTACTCAACTCATTTCTTTTAATCTTTCCTGATAAGTCAATTCCACCATTCTGATTACTTTTCTCTAAACTCGCTCCAATTTGTTAACGTCTTTCTGGCTGTGAGATGTCCTTGAATGATTGCAATATTCCAGGTGTGAGCTCACTAAAGTCTTACAAACAGAGGTTACTCTTATCTCTCTGCCCTGTGATGCTTCTGAATATGCAGCCCAAAATCACATTGACTTTATTTGCCGTCTGATCTCTTTCCAGGTTTCCTCCTGTCAGTCATTATTTCTGCTTTGAATTGTTTTCACTCAGGTGTTCCCGCACACTTGGCAGCATCCTAAATTTGATCTAATTTAGTATTTCCTACCCACATTTTAAACCTCGAAAAGGGCCCTTCTTATTTTTCTCTTCTTGCCAGTTTTTGTCAGTTGGGACCATCTGTAAATTTAATTAAAATGAAGAGTAACGTAATAATGTCTCATCCAATGCCAGATACCATGCCGTGGAGAGCAGAGGCCCCTAAACCTATAGGGCCCCCTAGCCCATCATGTTCTCCCAGTAGGCACCTTGCAGGGATGCCAGGGCCTAAACAAGTCATCGCTGTGGTAGGGAACTCTCTACCCTAGGGGGTCCGTCCATGTTCGGCTTTTAAGGCAAAGGGCAGTGCAGGAAAACATGCAATCCTAAGCCACTACTGGGGACTTCACTCTCCAGGAGTGTCAACCCGACACTTCTAAGAAGCACTGCGTTCAAAAGTAAACAAATCACCTGCTGTGATATTAGTGCCAGGCTCATTGGGAAGTGCAAGAAGAGATGCAGCCTTTGTTGAGTAAAGGGGACGCTTGCACACTTGCAAGCCACTCTGTCATGTTATTACCCCACCACCACTTCTCGGCTGCCTGCCGGAGTGCAATTCCTCTGGGTAGAGTCCTACCTAATCAGAGTTTTCCCTTATTTATTTAGCACTGGAGTCCTACGATGCCCACCAACCAGTTCAACAACCCCTTTGCAAGTGACTAAAGGAAGCAGTTGACCCGATGGAAGTTTGGAGACCATCTTTACAAAGGTAGCTGTGCCAGCTGGCCAAGAGAGTGGTGACCAGGCAGCCCTGCCCAGTCTATCTCCAGACACCAGAGGAAGAAAAGCCCAGAGGAGTCACCTGTCTCTCCTGACTGCCTGGGGGATTTCTCGCCATCACTCGCGCTGCAGCTCCCACTCCGCAGCCGTTTCCGGGCTTGTCGTTCGCCCTCCGCGCTGGAGGGGGAAAGCTGTCCGCTCTGGCTGTGATCCTCTCCGTTCTCCAGGGGGCAGTCCAGGCCCCTCTGCAGCTTCACCCCATTCTTAGCTTTTTTAAAAAGGACAGACGTACGCCTGCCCACACCACTGAACGGGGGGCTGGCAGGAGCGTCCATGGCCTGAAGGGCCAGTCCGTTCAGCCCATTGTCACTGAGCAAGCGCTGGAAAGCATGGCTCTCCCTCTGTAGTGCCTTCTTATCGAAGAGCTCGCCCTCCGATTTCATCCGCTTCTGCAGTCTGTTCAAGGACTTGCTTTCACTGATGGGTTTGAGCGTTGGAGGGTCCTGCAGAGAGTCCAGCTCAGACAGGGATGGTGCGGGTCCCGTGGGCTCCAGGGTGGGGGGATGTGGGGGCTTGGCATCATCTGCTAAAGAAAGAAAGAAAGAACCTGCTTGAACATTTTAGAAAGTGTTATTCCCAAAAATACTGATAGCAACTCTACCCCTTTCCTATGGCGGCAGGAAAGCCGTGGGCTCAAGTGATAACAGACGCCTGTCATTCTCCTTTACGGAAGGCACCCCGATAAAGATACAGGTCAGAAGTAGAGTGTCCCCAGATGGAGAGCAAGTCCATCTTCTTCCACACTAGATCCAGCTGCCATGTCAGTTGCATGCCTCATATCTCTACGGCCACTGTCTGGGTATTTTATTTCCAACGTATGAAAGAATAACCTCAGACAGTAAGACACAGCAAAGCAGGGGAGTGACAGATGTGAGACATTGGAAGTGTAGAAACTTCTAAAGACTATTATTTAGAGATATGCCAGACACTGTAGGCACAGGGATTATTCATAAACTTGTGCCTCTATAAATGTTATATGTATTTTTGTGAGCGAGGGATTGTATTTAAGCTCCATGGGGGGGAGGGTTATCAAGCTTCCTCCAGGGACTAGGAACAGAGGGAGGTAATTACTGCAAATCCAGTAACAAGTAACTCCAGAGAAGTACCACCCCAGGGAGGAATTGCATAGACTGGTTCAGGCCAGGTTCGAGAGGGCAGCAGACCAAAAAAAGGGCTTTTGGTATAAAGGAGGAGACTGAACTGAGCCAGAGTGCCTCATTTTGAACCTCGAACTGACATGAAACTGTAACCAAGAGGGTAAAACTCCGCTGGAAAGGTATGAAGGACTTTGGGAACCTACCAGGGCTCCATCTGGAAGACAGGCTACACCTGGTAAGCATAACATGAGTGTAGACTGTATTGTTTTATGATCTGTTTTCTCTCAATTGCTTTTGTCTTAAAATAAAGGTACTATGCTTTGTGAAAGCGAGCTAGTCAATGGTAACGCTGTCAGAGTCCCTGGGAGAGCACAAACCACAGGTGTTGAACTACGGTCAGACCTGCTGGGATAGCCATAGAGAGTAACAGGGGGACTGCAAGCCTAAATCCCCAGCCCGGAGAGAGACGGACCGGGGTCCCCCCCCCCCATACAGCAATGATGGCTGGAGATCTGAGACCTAAAGGAACATCCCTTGAGCAGACCATGGGAGGGGGCAGAGGTGCAGTGAAACCCAACCTGTGACATACTCCTCCAACCTCTCCTTTCATACTCTTCCAACCTTTCCTGAAAGGCTCATAACCCCATTCCCAATTCCAATCCCTCAAAAGATACAATCCCGGCAGCAGAAATCCATGGCCTATGCCAATTGATAAAGTGCCATGAAATATCAGGAAGGTTTCTGATGCCCTACATCCCTTGGACAGCCTGCTCCAGTTTTCAAAATTCATTACATGTGGCCCATACCTCTTTCTAATACAATAAACGCACTTTCCCAGCACACAGATGAATGATACAATCATCTAGTCAGTCCTCTGCAATCCCCAACAGGTCTCCCTTCCTGCCCAGGCTGCAGTGCTCTCCATTTCCCTTGGAGACCAGCTGAAACCTCTCACCTTTCTCCCCGTCATCGTCCTGGTCTCCCCTTAGCGTTTTGTCCAGACCCTCCTCCCGCGAGACAGGCTCTCCATTTGGCATGGTCTTGTTCTGTTGCTGGGCCAGCTTTTGCCGGATGGAGTTGATCTCACGTCTCAAGAGCCGGATGCGTCGGGTCCGGGCGCCGCTGGATCGCATGGTGCTCACCATGTCCAGCTTCTCCAACAATTCCTTCAATTGCGCCTCCAGGGAAAGGTGAGCCCGATTCTCGGGGAGGAGAATATTGTCCACTGCACCAAGAAGAGAAGCAATATTAAGAAGTGATTGCTGACATCTCGTGTACTCGAAGAGTGAAAGAAAGGCGCTCTGTTCCTTGGAGGAGGAAATTCCACTGTACCCAAACCAACCATTGCAAGTCCACAGCCATGCATCTAGCTATAAGGATAATTAAACACTGGAACAGGCTTCCAAGGCAGGTTGTGGAATACCTGTCATTAGAGGTTTTTAAGCACTGGTTAGACAAACACCTGTCAGGGCTGGTCTAGGCCCTACATTTCTATGATTCTTCTTATCAATGCTATTTGCAAACGCTATGCCACTGGTAGAGGACTGAAGAATTCTCAGGGTCAGATTCCAAGAGGGATGCATCCTTTAGGAAGCAGATTACAGACAGAGAGAGAGCTCCACGGGGGGGATGGGAAGCAGTAATCTGAACTAAGTTCAGCAAAGCTATTTCGTATTGCATGGGGTTGGGAACAAATGCTACAGAGATGCAGATTCGTCCCATGGTGGTTTCTACAACTGAAGCAATCAGAAGTTCAGGGCGTGCCAGGAATAAAGGTCTCTGTGACAAGACTCTTTCTATGGTGTTTTCTGTATTCTGGGTCACAATATCTCCATACCTATGCTGTCCCCTTGACAAAGAATTCCTCCCATCCCCCTACCTCAACTCCTTCAGAACATGCCAATTCTTTGGCTACCCAGATTGACTTTGTTGAGAGAAGGCATGTGGTCATTATGTCCAGTGCAAGGAGAAGGGTGAAATGAGGTTAGACTGGGCTGTCTGCAGTTGGGACTGAAAATAATCATAGAAATTAGAAATGGAAGACACCCTCACATTCCAGCTGCTGGCCAGTGCAGGATTGTCCCTACAATAAACTGCCCTACAACTGATGTCTCTGTGAGATGCACTGGAATACCTTTCCCATACATTTTAAATTCCAGTAAACCAGCCTCCCAACCTCGGTAGAGAGAGGGGAATGGTGGGCCAATTATATAAAGTACAAGACAGCCTAAACCTGTGTGAATTCATCTTTTCAAGGCTCTTTAAAAATACCCAATTTACAGTATAGCCATGGCACAGGGATTCCACAGCAAATAGTGAGCCTGTGGTCTTGTGGTCTGGGACTAAAGGGAGCTGGGTTCAGTACCCGGCTCTACCACAAACTTCCTGTGCGACCTTGGGCAAATCACTTAATCTTTCCATGCCTCAGCTTCCCATCTGTAAAATGGGGATTAAAAACATTTTCCTGACTCACAGGGAGTGTTGTGAGGATAAATTTGTGATTGTTAGATGCATACAGCCGGATTTGCGAAAGAGATCAAGGCCACATTTCCAAGTGCCCAGCCCCCCCGCAAATCAGGGCCAGCTTTTCCAAAGTGCTCAACAACCAGCAGCTCCCGTTGCAGCATTGCAGACTTTCAAAAGAGCTCAGCCCACTATGGGGCTCTTTTGAGAAGCTGGACACTTATTTAAGTCCCTAGAGAGGAGCTAAGATTGTTTGAAAACCTGTCTCTGGAAGTGGGTGTTAAGCTCATCTGAAATCTGGCCCTTAGAGCCTATAATAATGGGAGCCATATAAGTGCCTATAGAGGTAGACGGATGTGCCCAAATCTTACACCTCAAATGGTGGATGCAGTTATAGCCCCAGCAAAGTAACATGGTCAGAATGATGGCTGGTCCTACACACAGAATCTAGGAGTCTGGCTTTTACTGGACTGTTTGCCAATCCTAAAACTAAACAGCTTAGGGAAACTCACCATCCTCCCAAGAAAAGCGATAAAAGTCTTCCGTTTTGGGTGACTCGGGCAGGTGAATCCCCACATCAGTGTCAAAGCCAATGTTTTCAGCCTGCCGTCGCGCATGGCGTAATATCGCTCCTCCAAGGTCTCTCAGCCGGACAGCTGCTCGGTGGAAAATCGTGTCTTTAGCATTATACCTCATGCAGTTGGTAACTATAAGGTTAAAGTCTTCCTCAAACTCATCCAAGGTTCGGTACAGGTGGGACTCCAGCTTCCGCCTCATGGTGGAAAAATCCATTGGATTGGAAATGAATTCCAGGTAATCTGGAACCTAAACATATAAAACCTGTACAATTACAAAAACCATTTACTAGCCAACCAGAGCGCATCCATCATAAGCACTCTTAATGTCCTTTCCACCTGCAGAAGGGATAGTGTCACCAATGCACATATACTCCACCCAGTTGAGCCAGACCTGCCCCGGCTCTGCAGAATGAAATTACTTGACTGAGATGCTGAAGTAAGCTTCCTGAAAACAATGCCTAGGATACCACATGTGAGCCTCCTTTAGAAATTCCTTAGCTCATGCAAACTGAGGACAAAGACGGTCTGAGCTCTCTCAAAACAATGCCCTGCCCCTGCCATTCATGGTCATTCATATGACACCATGTGAGCTTCCTCCCATCTTCAAAGCAGTGCCCTCAGCTTATAGGAAAGATACTTGCCTCATTCAGGTTAACAGGCTCTGCAAAAATCTGGGCCGGATCCTTCTCCTGCAGCAGGTCCAAAGTTGTGCGAAGCAGCACATTGAAAGGAGTCAGCTGTAACTCCATAGCAGCTTGTTGAACTTTGACCTGGGAATGGTGGAAAGGAATCACATGCAGTTATCAAACATGTATTTCCCTTACTTCCGTTAAATTAAATTAAACCAGTTCCATTCACTGACGGCAAACTCAGACCTTTTTAAACTCGTTTCTGAAGCATGTTTGATCAAGTGCTTGTTTCTTCCGTTTGTAATGTAGAAATTAACAAAAATACCGTGCAGTATACTGAGTCATATAGTGAAAGAAGTTGCCTTCTTACTGTCTTAACAAAAATAATTACAGGCCAAGTTTAATATCTGATACATCCTCTACCAGGGAACTAAACCTTGTAAACTGGGGCACTCCTAGTTAGTCTATCTCATAACACTAGAACAAGGTGAAACTCAACTAAATTAAAAGGCAACACATGTAAAAGTGATAACAGGGAACACCTTTTAATGCCCCACAAAGTAACCATGGAATTCCCAGCCTCAAAATATAAGATCAATTAACAGGATTAGTTTTTTTAAAAAGGATAAAAGATTTAGGCATTTTTTTATGAACAGCAACATCCAGAGTTACATTAGACAAAATAAATAAGTTATAAGGGATATAAACTCTCATGTTTCCGGCCATAAGCCAATCACTAACTAGAAGGATTCTAGAGGTAGGCTATTCAATAGTTGTCCATCAGAAGGTTTCCTGCTCCTTCCTCTGAATCATAGAATCATAGAATCTCAGGGTTGGAAGGGACCCCAGAAGGTCATCTAGTCCGACCCCCTGCTCGAAGCAGGACCAATTCCCAGTTAAATCATCCCAGCCAGGGCTTTGGAAGGAGATTCTACCACCTCCCTAGGTAACGCATTCCAGTGTTTCACCACCCTCTTAGTGAAAAAGTTTTTCCTAATATCCAATCTAAACCTCCCCCACTGCAACTTGAGACCATTACTCCTCGTTCTGTCATCTGCTACCATTGAGAACAGTCTAGAGCCATCCTCTTTGGAACCCCCTTTCAGGTAGTTGAAAGCAGCTATCAAATCCCCCTCATTCTTCTCTTCTGCAGGCTAAACAATCCCAGCTCCCTCAGCCTCTCCTCATAACTCATGTGTTCCAGACCCCTAATCATTTTTGTTGCCCTTCGCTGGACTCTCTCCAATTTTTCCACATCCTTCTTGAAGTGTGGGGCCCAAAACTGGACACAGTACTCCAGATGAGGCCTCATCAATGTCGAATAGAGGGGAACGATCACGTCCCTCGATCTGCTCGCTATGCCCCTACGTATACATCCCAAAATGCCATTGGCCTTCTTGGCAACAAGGGCACACTGCTGACTCACATTCAGCTTCTCATCCACTGTCACCCCTAGGTCCTTTTCCGCAGAACTGCTGCCTAGCCATTCGGTCCCTAGTCTGTAGCTGTGCATTGGGTTCTTCCATCCTAAGTGCAGGACCCTGCACTTATCCTTATTGAACCTCATCAGATTTCTTTTGGCCCAATCCTCCAATTTGTCTAGGTCCTTCTGTATCCTATCCCTCCCCTCCAGCGTATCTACCACTCCTCCCAGTTTAGTATCATCCGCAAATTTGCTGAGAGTGCAATCCACACCATCCTCCAGATCATTTATGAAGATATTGAACAAAACCGGCCCCAGGACCGACCCTTGGGGCACTCCACTTGATACCGGCTGCCAACTAGACATGGAGCCATTGACCACTACCCGTTGAGCCCGACAATCTAGCCAGCTTTCTACCCACCTTATAGTGCATTCATCCAGCCCATACTTCCTTAACTTGCTGACAAGAATACTGTGGGAGACCGTGTCAAAAGCTTTGCTAAAGTCAAGAAACAATACATCCACTGCTTTCCCTTCATCCACAGAACCAGTAATCTCATCATAAAAGGCAATTAGATTAGTCAGGCATGACCTTCCCTTGGTGAATCCATGCTGGCTGTTCCTGATCACTTTCCTCTCATGCAAGTGCTTCAGGATTGATTCTTTGAGGACCTGCTCCATGATTTTTCCAGGGACTGAGGTGAGGCTGACTGGCCTGTAGTTCCCAGGATCCTCCTTCTTCCCTTTTTTAAAGATTGGCACTACATTAGCCTTTTTCCAGTCATCCGGGACTTCCCCCGTTCGCCACGAGTTTTCAAAGATAATGGCCAATGGCTCTGCAATCACAGCCGCCAATTCCTTCAGCACTCTCGGATGCAACTCGTCTGGCCCCATGGACTTGTGCACATCCAGCTTTTCTAAATAGTCCCTAACCACCTCTATCTCCACAGAAGCATCTACTACTGGTTGATTTCAGAGACAGGATAATGGACTAGATGGACAATTGATCTGATCTGATCTGGCTGTGTTTCTACTTCAAGGACGATGGAACTGAATGAAAAAATGTATTCCTCCTTTAATTTCTTAAGGTCTATGATATTACAATCCGCCTGTATGGTATTAAAATCACCAACTCAATGTCTAGGGAAAGGACTTCTACTTATGTGAGGCAAACTTAGCTAGGGCTGCCAAGCATGTATATTATATACATCTAAAAGTTGGGCTGAGAAGCAGTTCCAGCTACATATGTTTCTCCGTGGTAACTTTTCCTTTCCAAACTATACTGGAATTTCACTAAGCTGTTAAGGATGTAGTTACCTGTGATACAGACACATCAAGATAGCAAAAGCAAAAGGAAACAAACAAAGGAATGATTTTTTACCCTCCCACCCAAAGGATGTCAGCATTCACAGCAGAATAACCCCAATCCTGTAAGTCAGGAACAACATAAATAGGATGAACCAGTGCTGACACCATCAGGAGATCTCAGTCAAAAAACGGATGGAGTCCAGTCAGCTGTCACGAGAAAGGATTCCCAACTGGACCAGCTTGTAAGCAAAGTAAATAATACAGAGACCAGGATGGAGAGTGTGAAAGAAATCTGACCACGCAGGCTGGTATAAGCTTGAAAAACTGCAAGGGCAAAAGAAAACTTTCCAGTTTAGTAAGTGGTCTAAGTTCAAAACTGCCTCTCTCACAAAAAAAACCCCACCTCAAGGTAAGACTTAGCAATCTTTCCCTTACCAAATGGAGAGGAGGAGGATTTAGGATCATTCTTGGTGTGACGGTTACCAAAATACTGGAATAAACATTAAAAAAGATCTATTTTCTGTTGCACAAGCATATGATCCATGCTCAGGACAGAAATAGCAGGGGTGTTGCATGCCATGATTCAAATGCATAGGTAGTTACATAAAGAAGCTTGCCCAGCACTTAACAGCACAGTGCCTGACTCTGCCCAGTGCTGTCAGTCAGCCTCTCCCTAGCACTGCAAGTCAGCAAGGGTCTGATTTGCAGAGGTATTGAGCATCTGTATCTCCCTCAGACCTCAATGGGAGTTGTGGGTGCTCAGCACCTCTCAAGGTCAGTACCTGTGCAAAGAGAAAAAGATTTAAGAAAAGCCGCTGTGTTTCCATTCCTCCTCCAGCTGCAAGTGGAGCGGCGCATGAGGCTGCAGGAAAGGCCCAGGATCTACCTACCTGTTCCCGTTTGAGTTTCTCCCTCTTACGGATCAGCTCAATGAGCAACCGTGCTCTCTCCAAATCGTGCCGCAGTTTCTGCCAGTACTTCAGTTCCTCCTTCACTGCACTGGTCTTCTCATCCTGCTCCTTCTGTAAGAGGTAACAGTGGGATGAGATGAAATGCACATACAGACTTCTTGTGTTGTCTACTTTTCCCAAGTGTCTCGGCTCCCATACTCTTTCTCCTGTCTACTTCCATTTTTACTAGACCCCATCCATACTACAAAATCGACTGCGTTTAAGCACTATACTTAAGTAGCAGCCTGATCATGGTAAAACAGGCGTTTGGTCTTGTCTGTGTGGACAGGTCTAAACCAGGTTATAACCACATTCCAGAAATATGATCTAGTCCATGTTCAGTCGTACTCTCACTCCTTTCATATAAAAGTCATTATTATTTACACTACAACTAAACTTGATGACCCATTGTGCTAGGTGCTGTACATACTCTCTTAAGGTCCTTTTCAAGTAATGACAAGGATATACAAGTAATGACAAGGATGTATAAATGCTCACCTGAGACAACCAATAAAAGACAAACACAAAGGAAGTACGGATGATTTACATTTGTATAGTGTCTTTCACCCAGAAGCATTCATTTACAATGACTACTTACTGAAAACTGCTGAATCAACATATTAAGTAAATTTTGCATTCCCCTACCCTAGATTCATTAGTGTCAATTAAATTTTGCACTAGTCAGTCAGAAGTCACCACACAAATCAAATCTGTGATTTCCACTAAATATGGTAAAAATATATGTGCACAATATACACAGTGCTCCACAAAGAAGTTTTACAGCATTCAGGAATCACTTGACTTCACCACCTCACCAGCTACCACTGATCTGGAACGCAGCCACTGTTTAACACTGCACATCAGTTCAGAAGAGGAAGCAAAAAAGATTATATCAGATTATTATTTAAATAGGGCCATAAATGTGCATTGGAGGATTTGAAATTGAAGCCGCAGGAGGAATTACCCAAATTGCGATTTGGCTAGGATTCTGGAGCTAACACCTCTTGTCTTGTGAATGGGATCTTTAACAGCCACAATAAGACAGTGCTTGGTTTTATGATTCATCTGAAAGATGGTCTCACAAGCAGCACATCACACACCAGCACAATCCCAGGGCACTGATTCCATTCTGACTCACGAGGAAGAGTGCCACCCACTGAATCACCAACACCATTTGCTGCAGCACAATGGATCTCCCATTCAAGTACTAACCTGGCCTGACTCCTTGAGTGTACCAACAGAAAACAGCATAGATTAAGAAAGAGCACTCCTTCTCCATTGTAATTCCCTTAAAGAACAGGGTGTTTCTCTAGTTCTACTGCTATTACCCATTCCAAATCCCCAATTCAATACCCAGAACTCATCACCTGACTGCATCTCTGCCAGTGCTCAAAGTTGAATTACATCCTTCCAGTCTCTCCATCCTGCTCCCCTTTCCAGTTTACCCCAAACTTATTTCCCCATAGCTCTTTTGAAAGTCTGCAATGCTGCAACGGGAGCTGCTGGTTGTTGAGCACTTTGGAAAAGCTGGCCCTGATTTGGGCAGGGCCAGGCACTTGGAAATGTGGCCTTGATCTCTTTTATCCGGCTGTATGCATCTAACAATCACAAATTTATCCTCACAACACTCCCTGTGAGTCAGCGAAATGTTTTTAATGCTCATTTTACAGATGGGAGGCTGAGGCATGGAAAGATTAAGTGATTTACCCAAGGTCACATAGGAAGTTTGTGGTAGAGCCGGGTATTGAACCCAGTTCCCTTTAGTCCCAGACCACAAGACCACAGGCTCACTATTTGCTGTGGAATCCCTGTGCCACGGCTATACTGTAAATTGCGTATTTTTGAAGAGCCTTGAAAAGATGAATTCATATTCCTTTTCTCACCCAGGCTGCTAGAGCATGGGGTACTGGAATGAGGGGTGGTACCTGCTCTGCATTTCTTTGGGACTGCAAGTGAGAGTGGAGGCGCCGGATCAGAGGGACACCATTCCTCGCCTGGCGCTTCAGCAGCCAGTAGTTGTGTAGCCGCTGCATAAACTGGTTCTTCCTCTGGAGAGAGAGTCCACTGCAGATTTTATTCAACCTACAGGAAACAAACCAGATCAGCAAGCAGACTACCCCGCACATCAAAACAATCATCAAATTCTGTGGACCACGATAGCACGTTAAGATCTGCTGCTGCAGTAACAGTGGTGCACAATTTTGCAATGTTGTGTCAATATGCGTAAGAACTGTACACATAATTCACGCCAGTCTGTGCCAATCTGGGGTCTTTCAGGTGTGAAGATAGCCATCTCTGCCTTCAGGAATGTATTGTTATTTTAACAGCAGCTCGGCCGGAGGCTCTTACCAAACAATAGTCATAGCAGGGTGAGAAGTATCCAATCACCAATTCAGCTCCAAGGGAGCAGTTAACTTTACTAGGGCTTGTCTACACTGGCAAATTTTGTCGCCAAAAACTGCCTTTTGGCGACAAAACAGCAAGAGTGTACACACTACAATGGGACTTTTGTTGCGAAAAACGCCCCGTTTTGGCGACAAAAAACTTCCACCCCTAGGAGAGACTTTTGTCTTTTCCCCTCCCTTTATTGTCGACAAAGAGCCAGTGAAGACACTGCTGATTGTTTTGTCGACAGAACTGGCAGTATACCACAATGCCTGCTCTGATTGCTCTGCTCAGTGTTTTGATCTCTGCTGCCCTGCAAGCATGCACCCCTCCCCTTTCAAAGCTCCAGGAAGTATCTGTGTGCTGCTCCGTTTGGGGAACAAACAAAGAGCAAATCATTGGCATGCACCTGGTCTGCCTGGCACTAGGCACACAGCTGCAGGCAGACTGCTGCTGCAGGGGGAAGGGGACAGACAGACTGCTAGGCTGCCATCCCTCAACATGGAGAGCTCCCAGAGCTACTCATGATGCTGCTCTCGGCAGCTGAGGAAGAACTCGGAGAGAATCCCAAGATCTGCAGTGATCAGCTCTTCCTTCCCACAACACTGCACAGTGGGATACATACCCACGGTGCCTTGCTCACCCTGTCGATGATGGCGTCCCCGATGTGGACAGGATCTGTCGACAGAGGGAGCAAGTGTGAACTCCCTTGGGTGATTTTTGTTTTGTCGACTTCTGGGTGTCAACATAAGTTTTGTCAACAAAACTTGGTAGTGTAGACAAGCCCCTAGAGGCATTTAAGTTTCGCATTATTAAGCAAGGCACACTAGGGAACAAACTCAAATGGAGTCCCAGGATGATATTTTTAACCACTTAACAATTTTTAGGCCATTCCTGTGTTTGTACAGCACCCAGCATAATGGGGTCCTGGCCCATGACCAGGGCTCCAAGCTGCTATGATAATACAAATAATAAACACATGGTATCTGAGCAGGTTCCAACAGAACCTCTATTTAAATACATGGGGCATCTGGCTGCACTTTCCAAGATGCTAAAAGAAAATAGAGCACCATCCCCTGCTCCATGAGGGCGTCCTGGCCGAAATACACTAGGCCAAATTCGCAGCTGCAATGACAATGTTGCATTCAGCTCACTAAGCAGGATGCTTAGGAGCCATGAAGTGAGGACTCAAAACACAGTGGCTTTAGATCAATAGGAAGCTGCTTTCCATTGAGGCCCTCTTCACCCAATGGCTTGCAACCAAGTCTGAAACTATTTTAAAGCCTGGTCACAGTCCAACATGGTTTATGTTTACACGTTGCGTGTTATAATTTGGTATAATTAGAGCTGGGTGACATTTTTCGGACTAAATTTTTTCTTGCAAATAAATACAGATTCAGGTCGATCAAAATATTTTGCGAATTTGTATCGGTTTTGGCAAATTATTTCGGTCAGGAAGAAAAAAAAGGAAAAATAATTTGGAAATGTCAAAATGCTTGGTGTTGAGATTGCCGAAACAGACCATTTCAATGTTTTACACTAGATTCCTGACTGAGGCGCCATTGGCTTTCATAAGGCCCAAGGTGGAGATGCTGCTTCCCCTTATACCTATAACCCAGTGGTTACAGCACTCACCCAGGATGACCCTGGTTCAAATCCCTCTTCTGCCTGATGGGGCGCAGGGACGGGAACCTGGATGTCCCCCCTCTCAGGTGAGTGCCCTCATCACTGGACTCTGAGGCATTTGAGGGTAGGTCTCTCTCAGTCTCTCCTGTTGAAACTGTTCTACTTTGTACAAATAATTAAATATTCAGTGGAGCAGGGACTGAAATTCAGGTATCCCCTCCCCGCCACCGGGAGGAAGCCCTAACCATGTAGCTACCAAGTCACTCTTTCACTCCCTGGCCCAGTGAATATTTAGTTAATTGGAGAGATTGAGAGACCCACCCTAGAATAGCCAACAGCCCAGTGGTCAGGGTACAAAACTGGGAGGGGAAGACCTGGGTTCAAGTCCATGCTCCATACCAGGAAGAAGGATTTGCCAGCAGTCCCGAAGTCCCCTTGGGAATCCAGCCCCCTTTGCTTTTATTTTTTTTAAACGGCTAAAAAGGCCCAAAAATCAAACGAAAACATTTTGTTCAACCCATAATGATTTTTTTTTCTTAATTGCCAGGCTTGGTGTTTGTTAAAGATCCCCTGGGAATGAGCTACAGTTTGGGCATAACTGCTGAAAAAATAACAACAGAAGCTAGTCCAATGAAAGATGTTACCGCACCCGCCTTGTCTCTCTCTGACGCTTCAACTGTGCCGACAACAACCGTGTGCAAAAATGGTGCTTGTTCCTGCTTCTGCAGAAGGTGTTTTGAACATGGTTGTTGCTAGCTGAAGTATGGACAAGTGTCTTCAGGGGGTGCAGTTTAAAGATTAAAGGGAAGACAGATGCTGGATGAACCCAGTCCTTAATACAAAAGACCTGGCCAATCCCAGGTATCCACCAGAGAGCATTGGTACCAACACCCACCTGTAAGAGGGGATCTGTGTGACTGTCACCAGTGGCATAGACGAACGTCCATCTGCCAGGTCACAGACTTCCTTTTTGATCTTCTGCTTCAACTTCACTTTGCTCTTCTTCAGGGATCCCTTGGGGATGCTGACGCTGTCTTCCTCCTCTCCTTCTTCCTTCGCGATGTCCTCCTCCCCTTCACTGGTAGCAGTTGTAGACCCTTTTTTCGTGGTACCGGGTGGGGAATGTGCCCCACAGTAAGCCGTCTTGCGCACCGTGAAAGTTGTGCCGTTGATGCTGGTCTCCCTCATGGGTTCTATCTTCATGAAGAGACCAGCCCGTTGGGCACAGGTGACGTGGAAGGCAGTATAGCAGTTCACCTTATGGCACTGGATAGCAGCTCCCATGCCCTTCTGCTTGCAGATGTAGCAAGTCAGCTTCCAGCGAGCTGGTGGGATGTTGTTTATCCCTTCGATGGGCTCCAGGAACACAGTGTTTGCAAAGCAAACCTCGGGGATCCAGATGGCACAAACAACATGGGCCCAGCGGCCATCACTGGTCTGCTTGAAGGCTCCGCCTTTGTTTGGGCACAGAACACAATCAACCGGGCGAGAAGGGGACTGCAGGCAGCAGCGGCAAAGCCACTGGCCCTCGGGGATGTAGGGCACACCGTAGCACTCCTGGTGCACGGCCAAGTTACAGATGTCACAGAACAGGATGACGTTGCTGTTGTGACACTCATCATCCATGCAGACACAGCAGACTGCGTCCTCATCAATCAGTGACTGCTGGGCTCCGTTGTTGCGGCTCTCCAAGTACGACTCCTTCTCCAGCCGATCCACCAGCAGCTCAAAAGCGTCAGCAGAAACTGTCCCATAGCCATCATCCTTCCGCTTCTCATTAACCATGTCCAGCCAAGCCAGATCCTCCTCGTCCATGTCATACTCCACCTCTGCATCGAGGTCCTCAGGAGGCTTCTCCATGTACCGGTAGTATGCTGCAGGCAGAGGAGGGGCATCTGGCTGGCTGAAGGAGTCCATCACCCGGAAGCTGGGCTGGGGTAAATGGAAAGATGTCCCTGGTGCATGTTTGGAGCACGACTCTTTCTTTTTGCCTTTCGAGGGAGTTTTCTTGGACTTGGAAGGGAACAGGGGCTGTTCACTGTTTTCCTTGTTGCTGTTGCACTCTGTGATATCCTGGGCAGTCAGCTCATCCTCCGTGATGATCTTTAGGGGGTCATAGATGCTGATGCGATGGAGGCGTCCATCAATATCAACCTCCACTATCCGCTGGGCCTGGGCATACGTCAGAGTCTCCCGGGTGGGCGAGCATTTCAGGCTGTAGGGCGAGGAAGAACGTCTCCCCTCGGGGTTCTGCCGGGACCTCCTCCGAGGTTTCCTCATAGCTGCACCTGGAAACCCTGTAACACAACACAGAGCACAATTTAAGCCAGCAGCACAGGAAAACGTGAGCAGCACAGATTCAAAAAATTACTCAGCATGATAGGAGTGAAACATGTCCACTAGAGCAGTGGTCTCCAAACTGGGGTGCACGCATCCCAGGGGGTGCGCGAGATGATCCCAGCGAGTGCGCGGCACCAGGAGCACCACCAGACGGCACTTTGCTGTTTTTTTTCTTCGGCAGCAGCTCTGCACGTCCACAGCTGGTGATCCAGCTCAACTAATTTCAGATTCACTAAAGCACTGAAAGCATTTCCTCCTTCTTTAGACCCAAGGGGGCACACATCCACCAGTGGATAGGGTCTACTATTTCTCCCATTATGTTGTAGCATTGCATTGCAAATCCCCTCCAGGCCCCTGCTCTGTTATCTTTTCAGAGGACTGGCATACCACTGTACAACCAGCTGAGAAAAGCTGAACTGAGTTTGATGGTATTTGGTATTGAGCTAAATGTTGTAGAGAGAGTGCTTTGCTCAGCTCGCAGTTGGAACTCCCACCAAATCGAACAACACTTTTTATATCTGATGGCATTGTCCATATATTAATAAGTTCATGCTGCACATGGAATTTTTCTCTATGTTCTTGTGCCTGTTATTATTATTATTTACTTCCCACAGCACACACAATGTACTAGATATTTTCCAAACTTAAAAGCAGGCACTATTCCTGCCCCCTAGACCGTGGTACCGTTTTCACTCAACAGCTGCAACAGTACTTCCAAAGTCTGGTGAAAAAACAGGTGAGAATTCTACAGAAGAGGGTTATATGCCTATATCTGCAAGTAATATCCCACTGCTCACAGAATACATTATGTGAGTTCCAGCTATAAGGCTACATAAAGGAACCAGTCTTTTTTAAGTGGAGCCAGTCACAGTTCCTTGGCTCAGGTTGCAACCAGCATTTCAATCTGGGTCCTATTTTCTACCCTTCTGTAAAGTAGTCCACAAAAATATTCATTTTGCAAATTCTGACACAGGCTCAGAGGGCTGCATTAGGAAGTGCTGCAAGACAATGGTTGTGCAATGGGATATGGAAAGGTTTGGAAGAGATTAATCTGGCCAAGTGCTGTTTGAAGTTGTCTCATGGCTCTGGAGCACTTCCAGGGTATCTACCGAAAGGGACTGGCACTGAAATAGATTGGCAACCTGGCCTTCAGTAAACACAATTCTTCCTGCAGTCTGGGAATCCAATTTATCCTCACTTCTTTATATTGCAAATAAGCATACAAGGGTGCAGCATGTCAGAACAGGTGCTTCTTTTAAACAGTTAAAGAAATAAAATAAATTAATAAATAATGGGTATATAATCCTAGACACAGCTCTCAGCCAAAGAACGTAACATCTACTGCTAAAAGACAATACAGAAGCTGATGACTGTGGCCTGTTCATTCATTACAGCTTGTGTCTTGAAAACAATGAAAGGAATTACCGAGAACCAGGGACCTCAATCCTACACCCCATGTGCATAACCACTCCTTCAGTGATCCCTTTATACTGAATATCACTAGTTTTTAACGGTAAATGCAGTTCACATCATGGCTGGTGCAATATAAATATTATATATAGATTAGAGATATAGATTAGCTTTAACTTAAAAATCCTGGGTGCACTGACTGACCAACACAACTGAGATGAGACTGCAATGAAAACTGGTATCCAGCCTCTCTCTCCACAATGGCAGCTGTTCCCTCTGGAGCACTCCAGGGAGCGTGTATGTAACTAGCCCTGTGGCTGCCTCCCAACGTGCAGAATGGGCCGGAACCCAATATGAACATGCAGAACGGGGCACAACTGGCCGAGCAAAGCCAGAGGAAGAATTTAGCAATGTAGCAGGCCAGATGTAAGGACGAAGCATCCATTCCTTCTGCGATTTGGTGGGGTTCTCAAGGAAACACAGTGGGTGACAGAGAGGCTAGGTTTCATTTCCAGGCTCAAGTGCTGACTGGTCAACATGGAACAGGGGACGAGAGAGCAACACGGGAAAGGAGATTTTTTTTTCTCTCAAACACTTTTCAAACAGCAAGCACAACATGTTTAGGGCGACGATTTTTTAACAGGGTGAGACAGGACTGTATGCTGGAGCCAGAAGATTCAGTGGGAATTGAGGCGGCTGGAGAGAGAGGAAAGAAAATGTAGTAACAGAAATGCTGTGGAGGACAGAGGTGGGAAAGAGGCAAGATGGGAATGTTAATAGGGAGCCAGATAAATCACTTGAGAACAGTGGCCGCGCCAGCAACAGGAAAATGAGCTGTGGGAAGAAAACGGCCAAATCACATGAAAAAACAGACCCAGAAAGACAGGGAGAGAAGAAAAAGAAAAACAGAACATAAAAGCCTCCTGAAAAGATAAGTGGGCTCCTGGCTTATCTCTTGCTGCACTGAAGGTGCACGAAGGGTCTGAACTGCTGCCTCACCAATATTTTATTTAAATATATAATTTCAGCCCTGCTTACAGAATTTGCAGCCATGAAAAAACATTATAAAATGTAATTTGTGTTTAGCTCATTGTATGATTTTTGGTCTATAAAGGGCCTGACCCTGCAAACGCATATTCACAAGAGGCAAGAATGGGTAAGGGCTTGCAGGGGTCAGGCCCTACAACAATAATCAGTTAGTTCTATTGGTGAGGGGTAAACAAGTTCTAGGAATGATGCTTCTAGCCTTGGAGTATTAATATGCCATGGGGAGTCAAGGTTGCAGCCAGGACTAATGGAGTATCATAAAATGCAACCATGGCCCTTAAAACACTAATCAGCCACCTGATCAGCAGGCAGTAAAGAATCCAATTTAATTTGTCCTGACTGAGCTTCCGGTTGTCTCAATTTTACTCCAGGGGGAATTATGTGCCATGTGCATGCACAGAATTTATGTCCCCCGCAGATTTCTTTGCTTCCCTGCAGAAAAATGACTTTCTGATGGGGAAGTAAAGAAATTATGCAAAAGATCCCCATTTGGGGAATGGAGTTACGGAATAAATGAACTCAACCAAGAAGAAAGGGATGTCCAGGCAGCAGAGACAAGTTATCCTTAGTCAACCTCCTTCCCAACCTGTAAATCAATGGGAACAGAATACCCACTGCACATTCCTTTAATTGTTCCTGCCCTCCTTCTCACTGAAAATCAACCAGGCTTATAAAGAGTGAACTGGAGAACACACAAGGGAGGGACTGAAACATGGAAAACAAGGATTTCAGAAGCACAAGTGAAACGGGAGCCTAAAGAATTTAAACAGGCACCAAGTTTGGTAAACAGAATTAAATTCCACTACTCATGCCACTAACTGAGCATGCAGCCTCCTCAAGACTCTGTTGCAAATACATGCATGCACCCAAGCCAATCACAACGTTTACCTCCTACTTAGGCCTATTGAGAAAAGTGGGGTTTCTCTCATCAGAATTGGCTGTCTTAAAAAACAAGAAGAAAAGGAGTACTGTGGCACCTTAGAGACTAACAAGTTTATCTGAGCATAAGCTTTCGTGAGCTACAGCTCACTTCATCAGATGCATTCAGTGGAAAATACAGTGGGGAGATTTATATACATAGAGAACATGAAACAATGGGTGTTACCATACACACTGTAACGAGAGTGATCACTTAAGGTGAGCTATTACCACTGAATGCATCCGATGAAGTGAGCTGTAGCTCACAAAAGCTTATGCTCAAATAAATTTGTTAGTCTCTAAGGTGCCACAAGTACTCTTTTTCTTTTTGCGAATACAGACTAACACGGCTGCTACTCTGAAACCTGTCATTAAAAAACAAGGTTATAAAACATACTATCATTTAATACTATGCAGAAGCATCTAAAAAGTTACTGAAACTACCACCAGTGAGAGCTGATTGGCTGGGTCAGAGAGGGCAGCTGAACCCAAAAAGTTGTCACGATGTCAACATAACCATCTCTGAAACCTGACTCCAAAACAATGAAAGAATCTGAAATAGAGCTGGCCAAACGCTGCAGCTTTGTCTACATTAGAGAAATTTGCCATTCTAATTCTTTATTCCTCCTAGCACCCTGTAATACACCTGATGGTCACAAAAAATTGCTCCAAAGGGTGCCAAAATACTTGCTTTCAACAGGGCTAAGTACTGTAGTGGTCTGTGCTGTTTTAGTCCCAACATGAACAAAGGTAATAGCATAAAGGTTCAAACAGTCCTCCTCGTACTGTCCCATGGTGGCTTTTCAAAAATCTCCCATATTGCACTGCTTCTGGGAACTGTGGGCTAGATACCTAGAAAGCACTACAACTGAACCAAATAGCATGGCTGTTATGCATACACTGAACCATTTGTGCTTAACCCGTTTCTGTCCCACCAGTTCATTCAGGGGCAGTCTGATTCTCAAATGTAAATGTGGCTTGCATCAATTCAATTACACAAACAGAACCTCTGACAGAGGGGCCAAGTGCTATACTGATTTACATCCATGCAATACTGGATTTACCCCTTCCAGAATTTCAACACTATTTTCCAGTGCCACCACACCCTACTTCACCAACCCTCCATGCTCATTGTACACCCTTCCTATTCCATTCCACTCCATTCCTGTAACACCCAGTCCTTCCCTTCTGCTTCCTTGATGCCATAAAATATTTCTCCTCCCCTGCCATTATGCCACACTTCTTCCTAAATCCCATCCCAGTGACACCACTTCACATTCTGCTAGTGTCCTTTTGGAGCCATTCTGCTGTGCTGACAACAAAGTCTTCCTTCCCCAGCACCAGCAGCTCAGTATCTCTTTGCTAATCCACTTCCAGTGCCACCAAGCTTCAATCCTTGCTTAGCTGGCTGCAGGTCTCACCTTCCTCCACTCCATTTCCAGAGTAACAAGGCCACAACCCTTCCATTTTGCCTCTAGGCTTTCCAGAATCTCCCCCATTATCACCAAGGCAGATTTCTTCTCTAGCAACATACTTGCTATCAGCCTACACGCCAGCCACTTGCTCACCTTTCTCCACCTGC